TGACCCCGGCCCAAATTCTTTTTTGCTTAAAATGTTTCTGTTATCATATTTTAACAACATGCCAAGTTTAAAGAAATTCTATTGAACAGTTTTAATTTTGCCTATATGCCTATATGAAAACTCCCGAAAACGTCATAAGGGTTAAAAATAAAATATCAACCATAAGAGTTTTTGTCGTCTTTTTATTAATAAAAAGTTTCTGCGCCGATGGCAACAGTTGCTTCTCTGTGATCAAAATTCTGATTTTCATTTTTTCAATACGGGCGTTGACAAGAAAATACAAGAAAATGCGAGTTTGTTATCGTATTATATTTTCAATTTGATAGAACTAATGCTGCGCTTCGCGTGGCTTGCAATAAGTTCCATAAAATTAAAAAAATAAACAATAACCTATACTTATAACAATCTCAAATATTATGCAAAAGTTATTTTTCAAAAAATATTAAGAAATGTCAAGGAACAGTATATATATATATATAAAGGTTAATAAACCTTTCGAAAATTTCGAAATTTTTCACGAGCTTATGCATTCTTACTGACAACATGCAACATAAAAATATTTCTGAATACATACACAAGCCAACAAAGTTTATGTATAATACATTAGTTCAAACGAATGAACAAACATGAAAATCAATACATGATAAAACGTTAGATAATTTTCAAAAATATAAAAATGAATTATCAGTTTAATGGATATCTGTAGAAACATTGTGTTTATAATGTAATAAAAGCTAATTAACTATAACAATTAGGTCATTATTAATTTTTGTTCAATATTACTTATACAATTATACGAACAACAAATAAGACAGACAGAAATCACTTTATTTCATATTTGTACTAAATACGACCACGGATTTATATATATATATATATATAAATCAGTGATACGACATAATAATTATATGTTGTTACACGGATTTATATATTATGTAATATAAATCCGTGGTTGTTAAAATGTACATTACATATATGTACATGTATATATTTTAACCTATGATGCATAGCTTTATACATACTTGAAAAAAATTATGATTTTTCATACATCATATTTTGACTACATTTTTAAAATTTTAACCAATATATAACACATAGAAGAAAATTCATTAAGGTACTAAAATAAAATATTATATCAACAGAAATTGAGAAATATATCAAATACAGATTGTTGAGAACATGTTTGTCATAAGATTGCAAATCTTAAATGAAATTATCCCGGCAGTACAGGGAGCAGCAATACATTTAAATTATAATACTTTAATAATTCTTTCATTGAGCTATTTCTATAATTTTTTAGCCTACTTAAACCAAAACAATGATACTTATCTAATATAAACGTATGTATCTGCTAAGAATCTTTTAAAACTTACATCAAAGAAAAACTCTCAACCAAACAGCTGTAAATTCTTCACATTAAAAGTAGCACTCCACATTTACTTCCAGTCTATATGCAATGTCCAACAAGCAACATGTAGCCCAAACTACACAATCTGGAATGGAAAGACACATTTTGTCAGTTTATTAATGTCATAGACTGCAAATCTATAATAAAACTTTCCCATTTACGAACGATAGAAAGTAGCGGTTACTTCCCTTTTGTATGTACACTAAAGCCGAAAAATTCAGGGGAGATCACTGCGTAAAGATGGTCAAAGACAGGCGCATCAATTTTCAAGCAAAGTAATTCCCGAATGGTCAAAGATTTCTAATATTGTTTTATTGTATTTTCTGATCGAAAATAACTAAATACAAAGCGGACATTCAATCTCTGACACAGAAGTTTACTACAAACCTAACAACAAGTAGTTCTCAAAACAGCTAAAAACTAGCGATTTAAAAGAAAGAAATATTTTATTTTGTTACAAGTATCCAACAAATTACAACGCATTTAAAGTTAAACAATAGCGTTGGCTTATAGAATTGTCAATAAATGCACAATCACAAATTACGCGGATGAATATGATTTTATCAATGAAAATACTATTTTTAGCCATGTTGATTACCGAATACTACACAAACCGAGTAGTGGAATATATAGATTCTACATGCCAGACCGTTTGGGCGAGAGGATTTTTGCTAAAATATCTACTTCAATTATAAACAACAGGTTTAGCCTAAACAAAATACCTCGAAATTAATAAGGATTACAAACCCGAACTGCAATGGAGTTCCAAATTTAGAATGATTTGATATTATTCAGACACACTGTGTATAACTTTTCCGTGGTACAAGGGTAACGCGCTCGCCTCGTGAGTGAGAGGTCTCGAGTTCGTATCCAAGTCGAGAAAACTTTTTTTTTTGTTAAATTCTTTTTTTTAAGTGTTTTTGTTAAGGAAGTAGCCATGATATACAAAGATAAAGTGTGGCTGTCGTAAAAAAAGGACATAAATGATTTTTTGATGCAACTCTAGTTATGCAGAATTACGGATGTATCAAACTCTGGTGCCTTACAAAAGGAATTATAATACATAAAAATAAACTTATACAGGAAAATGCATACAGATATACAGTACGATTGCAAAGATCAGAAAATACCACAGAACTTGCAGCCGTTTGATTCTTTATAAATATACATGCTTATAGTAAGCTCCAGGATTATTTTACATCTGTGTTAAACAACAGTTAAAGTCGTTACAAGCCCTAATTTAGAATAATATGGTTTTCTTCAGGCCGTTCACATATAAATTCACCGTGGCTGAAGGGTTTTCGGGCTCGCTTAGGAAGCGAGAGGTCTGGAGTTCAAATCCCAGTAAAGGTTACTCATTTTTTTAAATTGTTAAAGTCAAATAAACATTGGATTGAATATCAGTGTTGCAATTAGTCTAATAGCCAATTTACTACAATTAAAACGCTGGAAAGCATTGGTGGCACTAAACATATAATCTCACAACCTGCACCTTTCTTACATTCTGAGACCCAAACAAATTCAGCGCCTTCTGTGCTTTGATTTTAATTCTGTTTTGGTGTCTAATCAGTTTTTACCTAAACATGCTTTGTGACAAATTTCACGCTTTTCCTTTCCTTAAAAGTTTGATTAAAAAGAAATTTGGCGGCCGTTTTAGTGGTAATTTTAAATGGCCATTTCAGTGGTCAAGATCAAGTTTTTCAATTTGGTATCCACCTTTATCGAATTCAGATTACCTTAAATAGTTAAAATACACCAAGATACCACTTGTACTACAAAATGCCTCTAGCATCTTATAGGGAGCCAAATTCTCAAAATCAGTCCTGTCTAAGACGTTAAAACGTCTCGCGACTTGTTCTTGCGTTCGCCCGCATTCGAGCATGGCCAAAACGCGAGCTCTCTCTCTCTCTCTCTCTCTTCAGAATTTAGCCTTGGCATTCTTAAATATGAATGTTTAATCAGAAAATCTCTAAAATTGTGATTGTCTATCGATTAGCACATGTAACTGTGTAAAATGTGATCGATTTCAACACGTGATAAACATGAGGAGCACGTGAAAATCATGAGCAGCCACCGGAAATAAACATCAGGCTGAATAGATGCGCACGATTTTTCTTTGCCGTGATTGTCGGTCAATGTACATGTATACAGACTACATTTCATTAAAATTTCAATAGTTATGAGGAAAATAACGCCAAATTCGGTTGGGGCGTTTCTTTTGCCCGTCAGTATATATGTACATGTTTCGCATCAGATGGTTGTGTAAGCTCTCAATTAATACAATACATGTGTAAATCAGTTCAGTCTAGCTCTGACAATAGCTCGATTAACGCTATCTACTCGTGTATACTAAAGCTAAAATGGTTGATAAAAAGGTCTCCTTTCACTGACCAAATACGGCCCTATATCAAGAACCGCTGTGTTCTTGGTCTACAGGCGGAGGACATATTTAATGAAATATGTCGTTTTTATGAGAACAATGAACTTTCTTTTTTTTTCTGTCACACGGTAGTGTAAGAATGTTTAAAGTTGTGTGGATTCGGTAAAAGATGCACCTTATGAATGCCTTCCGAAAAAAGCAACTTCGCCAAAAATGGTTGAAAAAGTAAACGATTTGATTGCTGCTGATGCAAGATTTACAACTAGGTATTACAGCTAAATGCGTTGCTATTTCTGTAGGAGCCGCTCATACAATTCTCAGACGTGATTTAAAAATGAGAAGGATAAGTGCCAGATGGATACCCCATCTCCTTACAAAAGAGCAAAAACTTGCTCGGGTAAGAATCTCCAAACAATTGTTGAAACAGTTCCCTAAATACAACAATCGATCTTTCGCAAATATCATCACTGGCGATGAGACGTGGGTTCACTTTTATGAGCCCAAGCGAAAGATACATAACAAAATATGGGCAACCAAAGGAAGTCAAAGACTTTGCAAAGCAAAACACACCATGAGCGTCAAAAAGGTCATGTATGTAATTTTCTTTACCAATCAAGGTCCTGCTATTCAAATTGTCGTCAAAGGCAAGGTCCTTCATAAATTAAAGAAATATTTCAAAAACCGTCGTCCTTGGTGGCATGTTGTTGCATGACAATGCCTCGTCACACAAAGCGACCATTGTACGAGAATTTCTGAACCAGGAACAGGTTGTCGAGCTTCCTCATCTTCCTTATTCGCCAAATCTTGCTCCTTGCGACTATTTCCTATTCTCGGGGCTCAAAAACCACCTTGCTGGAAGAAAATATCAAACGCGAAAAAAGCTCGGTTCGGCTTGTTTCCATTCCTCATAAAGATTATGACAACACATTTAAAATTTTGATTAGAGAGTAAAACTTTGTATATCACATGATGGTGAATATTTTGAAGGATTGAGATAATTATGTTGGCACTGTTTGTTAAGCACTTCTGAAAATTAACCCAGTTGCATTCATATTTGAACACCCCTCGTATACTTATGACAACGCAATATCAATTTGAAACTGAACAAACAACAAGTCATTTCTCGGAAAGTGGTGATTTTCCCAAATTGGTGTTTCGCAGAGAAAAGATAGAAAACAATGTATATTTTAAACGTCACTTTAATATATACATTTACACTTACAAATCAGGCCGGAATATTTGTTAATGGTGAATGCGATTTCTATTGAAATAACTCTTTTAATGAAAGCGTAAGAGTTTTTAAAACGTGTATCCATAGCTTGAGATACATTCATGATAAAAAATAACATACAATGTTCTATCACTTTATTTATAAAAATAACATATTAACACACCTCAGTATGCTAGCATGCCTATGGAGTAAATGCCAATGTATAGTAAATTGCAAAATGTCCCTGAGAACATCTCTTAATTATATTGTTCCAATTATGGTCAAATAGAGTATAATAATAGTTTCCTTGTTTCCATAATCGCATGTCTATCTGAAGTACAACCACACCTACGTTAATGCAACACTGTTGTGTGGATTAATTGTGCGACCCCAATCCAAACCGGGTACACGCCTTCAATAACATAAATTCGATTTTCATAAATTTAAGACACCATATAAAACCATTAAATTCTTCTGTTATTTTTCATAGAATCCTTCCTTTTTCAAAAAAGATACAGCGTCAAAATACCCGTCATCATAGTACTCCAGAAGCTTGTCTTTGTGTGGTGGTGAAAGCGCGTGCTGGAATCTGATTCTATTAGCGTTGCTTATCCCAAAGTTCTGTCGTCCGATACGGATGAATTTCCGGCGTTTGTCATCTGCTGGACAGATGTCTTGATCTCCAGAGAACGGTGAAACTGTCACAGTTCTGCCTTCGTTAAACGTTACCAAATTGTTAGTCAAGCCGCCATCTATAAATTTCTATGAATGAAACGAAAACAGTTATTAGTAATTAAAAGACAGTTGCCATTGATATTTCCTACAGGTTTGTTTTTTATTTATTATATACTTATAATAAAGGCATGGAAATAATCCTGAATCAAATAAATACTTAAGCTAGGGTTTTACGGGAATTAACAAAACAAATAAGTATTTCAATTTATTTTAAATATGATAAAGCTTTTTTATCTAACTTTGATCAAAAACAAATACCGTGCTTGATAGAAGTAAATTATGTTGATATGCACATCTACTAACGGTGTCTCTTTCACAAAAGAAGGGAAACACAGTTTCTACAAAAATCCGTTTTTTTTTTTTAAAAAGTATGTCTGTTTAAAAAAAAAGAGAAATGCACTTATTTAATGGTAGTGTTTACTGCATCACAGAGAGCTCCTTTTTATTGCTGATGGCGCCAGTACCTTGCCGATGGCTCGATCTCAATTGAATGAATGGAAGTATTTTGTTTTTAACTAAAGCTCTTTCAACTAGTATGTTGAGCCAGAGGTGAGGTTAAAACAAAGTTACATGCACAATTAGGTGGGTTACCATTAATTTTATGGTAGAAAAATCACTCAACCTTGTCTAATCGTGAAAGAAAACACACACGTTTAAATTTGGTAAACGTTCTAGCAACGTCATTTTGAGGTATTTAAATTCGTATCGAAATCACATCCAAAATGATGAGAAAATATTTACATGGCATATAGCATTCATCGATTTCTAAAAAAACAAGCAGTTTCTTTTAAATCGGATATTTTCTTTTAGAAACCATGTTTACCATGTTTTGGTCGAGGGCTCAACAACGGAAGTGTCGATGGCTCTCATTTAAACAAATCACCAAAATGTGAAAGAGCAAGCCAGCGTTTAGTGGGTGTGTTATAAGTTCCTTACTATAAATGTAATAGTGGGAATATATTAATGTAAGTTACTCCACGTATATTAAAATTTCATGTAAACGGTCTAAGAAGACCTTAACATTTGATCGTTTTAAAACGGGCACAAATTTCAAATATATAAGTAATCGAAATACCTATGAAAATTGCAAATAGCATAATATTACGTAAACAGCTATAATTTTCGGGAACATACAGGCAGACGAACAACAATAAAAATGCAAGAATGTTGGAAACAAAACACGGATAGACATTACATAGAGAATTTAGGTTGGTGCCGTGGATGGAGAAAGTTTATCTGGCGAGGCGGAGGAATTTATTGGGTGAGCCGTTCATCCACGGCACCAATCTATTATTCTATTTATCTTGTCACCGGTTTTTTTTTAAGAATTTTATTATGCAAACTACCTTGAATCACACTATCGGAAAACAAAGAAGGCCCGAAGTTAGTCTGGTTCCCTGCCTACTATTCTACGATTATTACGAAGACGTAGTAACAGGGCAGGTAATCCAGACTAGCCCGAAGCCTACAACAATGCACTCGCCGTTCTTATTATCTCCCTGTGTATTTTCAAATTGAAGGCGCCATTTTGTTTGAAAAATGTGAAAAATAAAAACAATTTTTTGTCGAATTTTGTTATAAAAACTATCTAGAATGAAAGAAAATGGTCTAACTAAGAAAATGAATTCGAACACCAATATCTTTTATTCAGTCGTTAACGCTGTACAGACGTTTACAGTATTGTTTACGTGACGTCACAATGTAGCGCTAAACAGCACGTGCAAAACAATCATTTTTTGTGAAAACTATCTAGAATGAAAGAAAATGGTCTAACTAAGAAAATGAATTCGAACACCAATATCTTTTATTCAGTCGTTAACGCTGTACAGACGTTTAAAGTATTGTTTACGTGACGTCACAATGTAGCGCTAAACAGCACGTGCAAAACAATCAAATCAAGTAAGCTATTTTAATGTCGCAAACGAGTTAAGTTTTACATTTATTTCACTTTTTATAATTTTTATTTCGCTTGAAAAATTATAGAGTGAAATAAAATAAACAAACAAAGTTTTATCAACGTTTCCAAAATTCGTTATTCTACACACAGAAGATTTAACGACAATTTTTTTCATACCACTGAAACGGCCTGTAAAGAACGTTTCTATTGGAAACTCTGAGGCGAAAACAAATTTAACCACCAAACATAACGTCCAACATTATAATAATAATTATATTTTTTCTTGAAAAGTAGTCCGGCAAACCACGTGGTCAAGTGCCGTAGATCAGTAAAAATATACGGCACCTTTGTTATCGGGCCGAAATTGATACAAGTGACAGGATAAATAGAGAATAATAGGTTGGTGCCGTGGATGGAGAAAGTTTATCTGGCGAGGCGGAGGAATTTATTGGGTGAGCCCGAAGGCGAACCCAATAAATTCCGGAGCAGAGCCAGATTTAAACTTTCTCCATCCACGGCACCAAAACCTATTATTCTATTTATCCTGTCACCGTTTTTTTTAAAGAATTTTATTAGGCAAACTACCTTTTAAATCACACTATCGAAAATGTTTTTATATAAACAAAGAAGGCCCAAAGCGTGCATTATTCTACAACAATGCACTCGCCGTTCTTATTATCTCCCTGTGTATTTTCACATTTGAAGGCGCCATTTTTGTTTGAAAAATGTGATAAATAAAACCATTTTTTTGTCGAATTTTGTTGTAAAAACTATCTAGAATGAAAGAAAATAGTCTAACTAAGAAAATGAATTCGAACACCCAATATCTTTTATTTCAGTCGTTAACGCTGTACAGACGTTTAAAGTATTGTTTACGGTGACGTCACAATGTAGCGCCAAAAACAGCACGAGCAAACAATCAAATCAAGTACGCTATTTTATGTCGCAAACGAGTTAAGTTATACATTTATTTCACTTTTTTATAATTTTTATTTCGCTTGAAAAAATTATATATTGAAATAAAATAAACAAACAAAGTTTAATCAACGTTTCCAAAATTCGTTATTTCTACACACAGAAGATTTAACGACAGTTTTTTTTTACCACTGGAACCGGCCTGTAAAGAAGTCCGGCAAACCACGTGATCAAGTGCCGTAGATCAATAAAAATATACGGCACCTTGTTATCGGGCCGAAATTGATACAAGTGACAGGATAAATAAATTTATTTATCCTGTCACTTGTATCAATTTCGGCGCGATAACAAGGTGCCGTATATTTTTACTGATCTACGGCACTTGATCACGTTGGTATGCATGAATTGGGCACTCTTTGTCGAACTACTTTTCAAGAAAAAAAATATAATTATTGTTATAATTTGTGGACTTTATGTTTGGTGGGTTAAATTTCAAAATTTTCATGAAAATAAGCTTTATTGTTTGGTGGTTTAATTTCAAAAATTTTCATGAAAATAAAGCATAAATCTGAAGGCTGCTGCTTAAAATTTAGGTACTTTTGATTGATTGTTTTGCATGCTATTTGGCGCTACATTGTGACGTCACGTTTTAAACAATATTTTAAACGTCTGTACAGCGTTAACGACTGAAATAAAGATATTGGTGTTGAATTCATTTTCTTAGACCATTTTCTTCCCATTCTAGATAGTTTTTCACAACAAAATTCGACAAAAAATTGTTTTATAATTATCACATTTTCCCAAACAAATGGCGCCCTCAATGTGAAAATACACAGGGAGATAATAAGAACGGCGAGTGCTTATTGTTGTAGAATAAATGAACGCTTCGGGCCCTTCTTTGTTTTGTATAGAAACATTTTCGATAGGGGTTGGATTAAAGGCTAGTTTGCCTAATAAAATTCTTTAAAAAAAAAACAGTACAGGATAAATAGAATAATAGATTGGTGCCTTGGATGGAGAAAGTTTATCTGGCTCTGCCTCCGGAAATTTATTGGATTCGCCTTCGGCTTACCCAATAAATTCCTCCGCCAACGCCAGATAAACTTTCTCCATCCACGGCACCAACCTATTATTCTCTACTTATCCTGTCACTTGTATCAATTTCGCCCCGATAAACAAGTGCCGTATATTTTTTACCCCTGATCTACGGCACTTGATCACGTGGTATGCATGTTTGCCGGACTACTTTTCAAGAAAAAAATATAAAAACTGTCGTTAAATCTTCTGTGTGTAGAATCTCGAATTTTTGGAAACGTTGATAAAAACTTTGTTTGTTTATTTTATTTCCCTCTATAATTTTTCAAGCGAAATAAAAATTATTAAAAGTGAAATAAATGTAAAACTTAACTCGTTTCCGACATTAAAATAGCGTACTTGATTTGATTGTTTTGCACGTGCTGTTTGGCGCTACATTGTGACGTCACGTAAACAATACTTTAAACGTCTGTGCAACGTTAACGACTGAATAAAAGATATTGGTGTTCGAATTCTTTTTCTTAGTTAGACCATTTTCTTTCATTCTAGATAGTTTTCACAACAAAATTCGACAAAAAAATTGTTTTTTATTTATCAAATTTTCAAACAAAAAATGGCGCCCTCAATGTGAAAATACACAGGGAAATTAATAAGAACGACGAGTGCATTGTTGTAGAATAATGAACGCTTCCGGGCCTTCTTAAAATGTTTGTATAGAAACATTTCCGATAGTGTGATTAAAGGTAGTTTGCCTAATAAAATTCTTTAAAAATAACGTTGACAGGATATAGAGAATAATAGGTTGGTGCCGTGGATGGAGAAAGTTTATCTGGCGAGGCGGAGGAATTTATTGGGTGAGCCGAAGTTTATCTGGCGAGGCGGAGGAATTGCTCACCCAATAAATTCCTCCGCCTCGCCAGATAAACTTTCTCCATCCACGGCACCAACCTATTATTCTCTATATCCGGGAAATTTCTAATAACAGAAGACGAAAAAATACTAAATTATGAAATCGATTGTCTTAAGTTGTTCTAAAATTATACGTAAAAAATTTGTGATTGTGTAACATTGTTTTCTTTCAAATAATTCAGACCTATTGAAGTTTTAACTGTATAAGTAATAAAGTAAACCAAAATGAAGTAATTGAGCTCTAACTTACGTGACCATCAATGACCGGAAATGTCCCGCCAACATACAGCGGGACGTAACATGTAGCATAAAGACACTGTATTCAAATAAAAGAAAAATTTACATTTGATATAAAGTTACACAAAATATACAAACCATATATATATGTTCGTAGCAAAATTGAAAAAAAAAGAACATTGTACCTGGCAATTTCTATTTTAAGAAGTAAATGATAATTGTCACCGTAGGGGGAATGTGTTACAGTATCGCGTTTTTCGGTTACAGTATAGAACTTTCAAGATGGTAGGCGATTTTTATTCAGGTCCATACTACTAGTAGTTTAGTTTCTAAAAGACGTTTTTGTGCTTTGCTTGTAAGGAACAGAATCCGGTATCTAGTCATATATTTCTTCAGACCCTGCACCGCAGATTTATATCTATATTGTCTCATAAATGTGCAGATTTGACGGTTTAAAAATTTGAATCGAGAGACCAACGCATTTTTCTCCCATTTTGACATTATTTAAGCATGCCTAGATAAAGTAAATCTACAAAAGTTAGTCCTTTGTGTTTAGAAACGTTTATAAAAGTAAATGACCTGTTGCACCTATTTTCCTGTTGGTAAAATGCGTTTGAAAAAATAAACAATGTTACAGTATAGAGCGAGGTTAATTTTGAAGGGTTACAGCATAGACCTAGCGACTTTGATCCAATTTTGTTACAGTTTATACCCAGATTTCGGTTACAGTTTAGATACTTGCCAAATTTCAAACAAAGTTCGTGTATCCATTATTTTTATGAAATAACCCATACCTTTCTATTTAATACATTCTTGAAAGGTTGTATTACTTTTTTTTTCTTCAGCAGAAAAGTTATAGTTTGCTATTTTTCATACTTTTAGTTTCAGATTGAGACTTTTTGCAGAATAAGTAATGTCCTAAGTAAGGACTGTTTTCACGACAACAACAGTAACTTTTATAGAATTGTATTGAGAGAAGAAAGATTATTGCTTGATTCCATTACACATTATGATAATGCCTATTAGTAATAAAATAGAGAAAAAAGAATCATTAACAGAAGTCCAACACGGAAAACATGAAAATGTTGCAGGCTCAGTTTGATTAAACCTGTTCATGGACGATAGTGGTAACTGCAAGATACCGTCCACGCCTCCTAGCACCGTCTTCAGCAGAATTCACATTAAACATGGTAACTGGTACACTTAAGATTTTTTAAAATCTGTGGATGTGTTCATATGGCGGTTATCATGGAACCTTCAATGTGACACGTTATTGCCATTCTATGAAAAGCGGCATATTACCCCCGGTTAAAATGTGCGTGTGCCCTAAACGAGAATACAATGAGTGAAACTAAATGGAAATTTTGAGAGGGGATCGGAGGTTATGAAGCCTGCATACCATAGATAAGCTGTCAAAAGACACAATTAACAAGCAGGCAATACCCTAAGAATGATTAAACAGTATTTAAGTGAGCAATACTGCAATCTTAAATTTTATTTTAAGTTGGAATTTCCATCTACCATAATGTATTTTGTAAGTATTTAAAAGGGTTTGTTACGTTTGGCTTTCTTGGATTTTAAGTTTCAACGACACTGAGGTCATGTGAAAACATTCCTGCTTTAGTGTAAAGAAAGACCCCAGATACCCTTTGTGAAACATTTCAGACACGAGCGGGCACCTGACTAGAACCACTGACCTTCCGTAGATTAGCTTGATAGATTCCTCACATACAAAGAATCCAAAGTCATGATTGGATTTCAACTACAGCAGTAAATAAAAGATGATTTGAAGTCGACGGCCTTATCCCGACTCTGCCACTATATACTATTATGTACCTCCATCAGGCTCACTAGAGAAGATATTGTAATTATCTGACCTTAATTTATACTCTATATCTTTCAATAATATTTTCTTTTTCAGAAACATGAAAACTGCTATACAGGATGTCTGGAAAAAAAACGACGTTTAATTTAATAATGACAAAATAATGGTAACTTCAACAAAGAAGCATTCGAAATGACGCCATAATCATGATTTGATTTGAATGCTTTTGGTTCGAGATGAGAAGGGTCTTTAAACATTGCCTTTTTTTTCAAAATCTATGTTTTGGATTTTCGTATCCCCGATTGCAACCGAAACCATTTGAACAACTTAATTGGTAGAAAGTCACATTAATTTTAGTCAAGTAGTTACTGAGCGGATGAGATTGCACACACATGTGTAGGACAGACGGACGAATAGCCATCGGGCCAATAAGCTCACAGAGATTTAAAAGTCTATGTAACATTCATACATTTTACCTAGTATATATAGAAAATATCGAAGTCTAAACTGTAACCGAAATCTGGGTATAAACTGTAACAAAATCGGATTAAAGTCGCTAGGTCTATGCTGTAACCCTGCACAAATCACCTCGCTCTATACTGTAACATTGTTTATTTTTCAAACGCATTTAACGAACAGGAAAATAGGTTCAACTGGACATTTACTTTTATAAACGTTTCCTAACATAAAGAACTAACGTTTTGTAGGTTTACTTTTTATAGGCATGCATAAATAATGTCTAAATTGGGGAAAAATCCGTTGGTCTCTCGATTCAAATTTTCAAACTGTCAAATCTGCATATTTATGAGACAATATAGCGATAAATCTGCGGTGCAGGGTCTGAAGAAATATATGACTAGATACCGGATTCTGTTCCTTACAAGCAAAGCACAAAAACGTCTTTTAGAAATTAAACTACTTGTAGTATGGACCGGAATAAAAATCACCTACCTGTCCTCCCAACAAATAATCCTCCATCTTTAAAATTCTATACTGTAACCGGAAAACGCGATACTGTAACAGGTTCCCTACGGTGATTGTAGCGGTCAACAAAGCAAATTTATACGTAAACTAGACTGCAAGCCGGAGAACAGCCTGCACTTTTATGCGTCGGATAAAAAAAAAACAATAAAAAAACATAAATGAAATTTGTGTTTATGTTCGAATTAGCCCTGGCAATAAGGTTGACGATATGTCTGAGTTAATTATTGTTGCTGCAAGTTATATATTCAAGAATAAAAAGTTGTAATAATAAAATAATAAATAACTGTGCAACAAAATCATGATATCGTCACCTGAGTGGTAAAAGGTCGTAACTAACATTTTGCCGAAAATCAGATTTTAACATTTCTGTGATACACATAGCAATGTGCATATTCTGTAAAAATATCTTGGCTATATTCCATTTATTGACTTTGTTATTGATTAGAAATCAAAGGCCATAACAACTATTTTTAATTTTCAATGAGCGGTAAAAGGTCTTAAGTGAAACTAAATTAACGGTAAAAGGGCAGATTTGACAAATATGCCCATTTCATTCTCAACTTTTTTTGCAAAACGTATGTCAAAACTGACGTATAAGGTAGTAATTGCCAATTACGCCCTTTTCCTTCTAAGCAAAACATTCAATGTGAAACATATGCCCCCTTTATCTGAACAAATTAGCAGTGTTATAGATTATAGAGAATATCATTTCAGTACATGATAACATAAGAATTTCACTAATATCATAAACTTTCCACGTTCATTTGTTTATGTTTACAAGAAGGAATCATGGATGAAAGAAAATCAGGTTTGTACAATTTCATTAAATTCTTTGCAAAATAATTAATTTGTAAAACAGTTTATATCATATTTTAGAGACAATATTCTAATACTAGTAAATAACCAGTATTCTAATTCTGCAAAATAAGTTGTTCAGTAGTGTGTCTCGTATGTTTATGTACATGTAACTTAATCAATTGTGTCCAGGTACATATTTCTTTGATTGCATTTAACTGCCAAATTATAAAATTTGTTAAGTAATAAGTATACTCTTTCTTTGTAGGAAGACCTATAGATGTATTTCGAATTGTCAGATGATGAGATGTACTTTGATATTAATGTGGCTGTCAATAAAGGTAATTGTCTTAAACAATGTGGAAGAAAATAAACTTTGTGACTGGAAATGCTGATACAATATTACTGTTATTGTCTATGGAATGTGTGAGTTTATGCGAGTTGCTGATTAAACTGATTTAAAAGTCATCATCATAAGTAACAAGCATACTATAAAAAGACCAAGAAAGTCATGTATACTATATGAAACCTTACCACTGCATATTAACTTATGTGATTATTATTCAGTAAATGCATTTAATTGAATTTAACACATGTTTTATTCTATATTCTTCATTTCAGACAAAGAAAGTAAAGACGAGAAACATGTACATGAACATGAAATACATGGTAGTAGCAAGGAGCAGCAGGTGAATCCATCTGAAATACAGCCTAGTAACCAGGATCAACATGTGAATGATCAAGTAAACCAGGCTAATGACGAACGTGTAAAATGAAAATGAAACACGTACAAGTAACGTGGAGCAGCACATTAATGAATATTTAAAACAGGCTAATAATGAGGTATTATGCATGGAAGAAAATGAGATACGCTATTAATATGGAACAACACATAAATGAACATGAAATAAAGTCTGGTAACGAAGTACAACTTGTGGATGCAAATGAAAAAAAAGACTAGTAGCAAGGGAGAATATGTAAAAGAACATGGAAATGAAATACAGGATCAAACGTGAATGTCAATGAGATACGTACTAGTAACACAGGAACAAACATGAAAAGCAGACCAAAAACAAGGGACAACATTTGAATTAACATGAAATACAGGATAGCAGCAGCGGACAAAACGTAAATGAAATCAATGGAAAGCTTCACAGAGACGCCCAACATCATACAAGTTCTTCTGATGACGATATACCACTTTCAAAGTTACTGGAATATAATTTTAAAGGAAAAGAAAAGAAGTCTGTTCGGCGAATGTTAATCGTTACAGATACTGAGTATTCTAATGATTGTAATCAGGACATATCATATGATCTACAAAAGAACATATTAAATTCTACAGATTCAGAGACAGAAGAGTTCCAAAAAATAAAACGGAGAAAAAGGAGACAGAAGAAAAGGAAACAAATTACTTGTTGCAGAAACAGATCGTGGAAGAAAAAAAGCATCTACATTTAAATCTAAGTCCAAGAAATTATTGAACAAACGAAAGAAGGAAAGTCCCCTACAAGATCAATAAAATTTTTAAAAGAACGAGGAAAAATCAAGAAACTTACAAACACATGATGAATTTAAAAAAAGCAGTGAAGTGTAGCAAGATTATTGCAACACTTAAGGCACGGTTAAATCGACTGCATGAGGCTATATTAGACCATCTGTTAACAGTAAATATAAGAAAACGAGTTTAAATTCCCGCAGAATGAAACTGTTTCTTTGCAGCTATTGCTGAGAGTGTTAACAACAATTTATGTAAGGACGTAGATACTTTTCAAAATTCGCTATGTGATCACATTCAACAAAATAAGGACATATACTTATCTTTCTTGACAAGTATATCATAAAGCGAGAATCAAAATGATGTTTTTGAAAGAGATATAAGCATTATGAGACGCAATGGTCACTGGGATGCAACTCTAGCCGATTGCATGTCTATAGCTGTTGTTTACTACTTAAATTGTGAAGTGTGGATATATTCAAGCTCGACTTCGACTCTATTTATAAATGTTAAGCCATCAAACTGGAAACAAGATGGACATAACCAGCAAATTGAAATAGCGTATATTGCATTCTGGAATAATGAGCATTATGATGCAACCAAACCAGTCAATCAGACAATACCGAACTTCCCCTTGATAATACAACAAGAGTTAATTCAATGGAACATTGTGGGAATGAAAACCATATTCCTGTTACAGCACACAAACGTGCAGACTATAACAGCCCTTAACAGACGCTATCAATCCGGAAAAGAAAATGAAATGAAAAAGAGTGGCAGTCACCTGTACGTAAAAGAAACAAACTGCAATTAAAATCTTGCAAATCAAAATCGGGTAAAACAGTGAAAGGAAAAGGACTGCTCTAAATGAAGATTCAAATGGAACAGTAACTTCACAGAAACAGAGAGAAAAATATATTTGAAATGTATTATGCACTTCCAACTTATGAGAGGCTACGTTGTTTTATTTGCGTTGTTTTATCGAAAAGCGACCCGGTTAGAAGCACTAAAAGTAAAAGAAAAATATCGTTGAAATACAGTTTTTTCAAAAGAGAAAAGAGCATCCATGTTTGCCAGAAGTTCTGTCTTAATCTCTCGGTATTGGTGAGAAGCTGATACGGTACACTCTTAAAAGAAAAACAAATGGTACATTTCAAGGAACAGATTTGAGGGGTAGGCACACACCCAGTACAAAAATCAATGATGCAAGAGTGAAATTCGTGTACGAACACATAAAAAAATTTTACTACGCTAGAAAAAGTTCTAAGGAACAATATGTTGTCCATGATAACGCGTAAGTGGCAACTCTACAAGGATTGGTGTAGTTCTAAAGGATATGTCCCGGTAAAAGAATCGAAATATAAACAGATATAATGTGAGAATTTCTTTGCACGAAAGACATTATTCCCGAAGAGTTCCACTCATATATTGCTAGCTTATCAACAAACAAAAGCAACAAAGACTTCCTTCCTGAAAATTCAGATTATGAAGATGAAGAATGTTAATTGGTGAACAATTTACAATAACTGCTAACATTGTAACAGACGAATTAAAAAGTATGTGTTTTATACATGTATAGAAATTTAAGTGAGAAAATCTCTGATTGATTTTATGTTTAAAAGTTGGGATGTATAAGGATGGCATCTTAAAAACAGACAATCGTGATTATGTGACGATATGATGGCGGAACTGTAAAAGTTTAATTTTTTTACCCTTGAAAACTTGTATGGATTTTACGCCTTTATCATTTAATACTTGAACACTTTCAAACGGTTATATAATTTCATCATTCCATTGCTTATAGTACTGTTTATGCCATTTTAGTGATTGTGACCCATTATTCTAAATACATATATGAAGAACAAATATATTCAATGTTCATTGTATTTTCAAAAGGAATAATTGTTTTCAATTTTATTGTGAATGTGCACGATTTCAAAAAAAAAGTAAGTGGTAAAAGGTCAGATGTGTCATATGTCACCCTTAGTATGTGTGAGTTTTGTGTATTTGTTAAAAATGAAAGGGTAGTATTTGTCAAATACTACCTTATATGAATGAACAGTTATTCTATTAACTTAAAATCCCTCGGCGGCATAAGGTCATATTTGCCATATGCGACCTTTTCATTCTAATGTCTTTAGCAAAAAGTAGTAGGTGAAAAAGGGCGCATGTACAGTATTGATGATATTGATTGATTGATTAGATATTTTGTATGTTTGTATATAAGAAAATAAAGATGATATAATAACATCTAATATAAGAATATTTGGTTTTCTCTGAATTCAAGTTTTGATTCTTTTTAGACTGGTATAAACCTTTAAACTCTGTTCCTGAAAATTATGAAAAATGCACTTACGACCTTTTACTTCTTAGGTGACGATATTTAAAAAGAGTTGTGCCCCTTAACGTACACAGAATGTTGTGTCTCTAATGTAAGAAACTAGTAAAAAGACAGAGAATATCATACTGTTTTTATAAAATATTTTTCTTTTCAAACCAGTGCAAAGAATCTGTGATGATTTTTTTCTTCCAGTTTTAAAGGAACATATCCGAGTCTCCCAACTAAAAGACCAATGGCCAAGTGGTTAACGCGTCGGGCTAGTAATCTAATGATCGCTAGCCGCATGGGTTCAAAACCCCGTCAGTGGCAAGTCGTTGTTTCCTTGAGCAAGAAACTTTGCACTCGTTGCTCAGTACTGGTTGGTTCCAGGAACGGATTCGAAAGTGTGTCTATAAGCGTATCGCTTCCTACACAATCAAACTAAAATAAATTCTGTATAAACCAAAAGACAAATCGGAACGTCGTCGGCTATTATCTGAAATAACTCCGAAGACTGGCGGAAAGGACCGAAAAGTTGCGATTGCTGATAAAAGCTAACTGGATCATGCATACAGTCTCAATTTAGTTATTGGCAGCAGACAATTATTTCCATTAACTAACATTTTCTTTATAATACTAGTTAGCTGAAAAAAGACAACATAGAAAAGTGGGCATAAATCTGTAATCATGCTTAGCAGACATACCTACTCTTAACTGTTTTTACGACAACTATTCCAAGTCAAAAGAGGGAAATATAGTTTAACAAAAAATGGCTTTTAAGATTATCTGCCTCTTAGAAATGCATTTCAAATTTGGCAGTGAACAAGTTCTCCATAGTTTTTGAGAAATGTGCGTAGTTAAACAAACAAGAAAGATCAGTGATCACAAGCAGCGCCTAATGATAGCCAATTAAGCTGTTGTATTAAGGGGTGATTAGACAATGTGTTCCCTATATGTCTCAGCTACATTGTAGCATTTTGCAGCTACTGTGTAGCAGGCGACACAAAATATTTAACAGGCCGAAACTTCTTTCTATTCAAGGGCCATAACTCAGTCAAACCCATTCCACCGGTAAACTGTTTAAATATGCACAAGAAATTGAGATACCAATCAATCCTGTAACATTTCGATCAAATTACATTATTAGTAAAAGAGAAAATCATTAAAGGGACATAACTCAAAATTATTGAACTTGAAAATGCTGAAAGGTGGAGCTTAAAACATACATACCTCAAATAATTGCCTATTAGAGCTGTAAGTGGACATCACTTCATTTGAATAAGACCCTTTCACAAGCTTTGTCAATGATATATACAAAGTATTGTTTGCTTTTTTGTAACTATCTTCTGGCATATGAGTTATCATAAACTCTTTTACCGGTTTTAATACGTTGTACCTAGGTGTCCATCCTCCGAGTAGTTTCTTGTGCAATGCATCGGCTTGATCAAGATTAAATTTTCTACACAACTGCAATATTGATTGATAACTACAAATAACCAAGATTTCACGAGTACAACAGGATTCGGAGTCATGAACTGTTTTGTCAAACTAAGTTATAACAGCGATAATAAAAATGCGACGAATAGCAAGAATTAAGTGTTAAGAGGTTCATATGGAAGACTGGGTTTGCCTAACTGTGTTGCCTCTTTAAATAAAGCCGTTATCATCATCAGCATCATCATCATCATCATCATCATCATCATTATTATTATTATTATTATTATTATTATTATTATTATGTGTTTGAATTTTTAAAATAGAATAATGACCCATTATTTACATATCTTATACAGGACAAAAAGAAAATGTTACGTACCAAATGTTAAATGGATGGTTAGATGTTGTAACATGCAATCAGAAAGTTTTATCAATATATAAAAGACGCATGTATACATATACTTCAAAGAAATTACAACCATATTTTTCGTTTTCAATGTGTAATTTTAAGTTACAAATGCATTCATTTTGATATCACAAAGTGAAAATTTTAGTATTGTTTACTTACATCAAGCTTATTGGGGTCACACACCAAAATGGCTCCAACTAATGCACCCGCAGAAGCCCCGCCTACCCTGTCTATCTTTGATAAGAATACAGGTGCGTGATTTATCAACGCCTTAGCAACTCCAATGTGATAAATGCCAAGAAATCCGCTTCCACATAACGACAGGTTCATTCCTCTCCAGTTACAGAATTACTGCAATGTGCCATTTCAAATGAATCTTTATTAAATATGTTCTTTATGTTTTACGAGCATACTAAGTTCTTATATATGCTTATCTTCTTGACGAATCCGTACAGTTATATAATTAACCACAATATTCAGAAAATAATGTCAGCACAAATCACTTTGGCATTATGGTAAAATTGATTTGAAACTACTTAACAGTTTATTTTTGGACATTTTATTTATGGATACAGGGCGAAATCAAATTTGCGTCATAATTGAAAAAAAAAAATATCTTCAATGTTCTATTGTTATTAGTTTTCATTGAACAGACAATGCACATGCAATAAATGGCTGATTTTTCTATTTTTATTATCATATTTTTACTACGTGACTAACGTAGAAAGGATGATTTTGTTGTTGTTGTTGTTGTTTTGCATATTTTGACATGTGTTTTTAAAATGTAAAAATTGATTAAGAGTATGAAAGATGCTTATCAGATAGATAGAGTGGCTCTAGAAGTGATATTTAATTTATCATAAAGGTAGAAAATTGTAAGCACAATATAAAAAGTAGTATTTTGGCTTGCATTCACAATACTAAATCGCTCTCACTATACTACATTTTATTTATTGCCAAAGTAATATAGAAGCAAAAGATGACTCAGCAATATTGGGAACTCTTTTTGAAACTGTGAAAGGGAATTAAATACAACGCTTAAACTGACACAGTGTCTGACACTATTTTTCGGGCTTAATAAAAATAAAACTTAAAGGAATAAACCAAATATATTTTTATCCGTTAATCATAACCCATAAGACTTTCTTTGTTTTAATCAATTAATTTGATCTGTGAAGACCAGACTGGATCTTTAATAAGCGATATGTTACATCAGATGACTCCTGTTAAATGATTTTCGTTCCATTTGTATTTCAATAAATACCCATATTGAAATTCCCATCAACTTGTACAATTAAAAAGAGACCGCAAATGTAAATGAAATCCGCTATATATACACTTACTATTTTGGGAACTATCCTTTCATATGTAGATCGGTGAATAGATCATAGATCTATCGATACTTTAAAAAATGCAATGAAAATGATCACTAGAATATATTCACCAAATTGAAACTTACCAACAGATATATATATTCCGTAAAAAAATATTAGACTGAACATTAAAAATTGCATGCAAAGTAGGTACACCGAGCAATTTGTATAATCTTTTTGCTCTCATTTATAAGATTAACTCTAATATAAAAAGGACAGTTCTATTTTTGTGGTTTAATCGAAACAATAATTTTGAAAAGTAATGTTTATAAGAATCTAGTAAACTAAATATTCAAGAAATTCATAAGAACATATTAACTATTATATGACGATGTAGTTTTCAAAACTGCAAACGTCTATTATAATGAATTTAACCACAAAAAAGCCTATCTCTAGAATTAACGAAAAGGATATCCATTTAACCTCTAAATACTTTTAGTTCATTTATTTTATTTAATTTTGCTTTACAACTGACGTGCCTGCTTAATTTATGTATGAATTACATGTACGTTGAATAGGATAGATAAGGGGAGCGTTGGCCTAGTGGCTAAGGTGTCTGCCTCTCAACCCAGAGATCATGGGTTCGAGCCCTACTCGGGTCACGACCATGTTTCTTAATATGACACCAGTACTGGCTTGTTCCAGGAAGCGGACTCAAAAGTTATTCATATAAGTTGCAAGAACTTGTTTCGCAATCGAGCTTAAATAGATATGTGTAAACCAATAGGATAGATCTAAAACACCCTAATTTGGCCAAGGCTTTAATTACAGCCGTGTTGTGACATGGTTATTCAATAGAATCTAGAAAACAAAACCCATAAAAAAACACAAATTAGGCTACACTATTTCAGGGTTGTCGTGTTTAACAACCTTAGCTTAAGTGTCTATATTTTTATTCCATTAAATCACAAAGCGTTCACCTAACAATGAATACCGCCGACGTACATGTATGACTCACTGTATATACTTATTTAATTATGCTGCTGTTCTTTTTACACATGTACTCCTTATAAAAAAAAAGTGAAACAAAAGCAACAGAAATCAATTTTTTTATTATTTATGTTGATAGTTGGCATTTAAGTAGGAAACTCATGTCAATTTCGATTTTTGTCTTGTTGTTTGTTTGTTTGGTTTTATTTTCCAAAATATTCGCAAAATATGGTTTACAACTTTTTAAAGTATATTTCTTCATAATATTTTGTATATTTTCTGTTTCAAGTGTCCCAGTTAAGAAATTCAAACTTTATGTTTTCAGCTAGCCTTTTGGACGTCAGTAGAGTTCTTTAACGTGTTACTTAGTGGGGAATAGACTGTAGGTCTTTTTTTCTTCTTTCTTTTTTATTTGATGGTAGGGCCATTTACGAGAATAATAATGCTATCTTCATGAAGGCATGATCGATGCCTTTTAAAGTTGTCATTTGGCGTCTTTTATCACCTCCTAAGCGGAGCTCAATATACATCACAGTAATGTATGTCTGTATTTTCTCAATGGTAACATTCTTTCAATCTCAGGACACATCGACATAATCCACCGGAGACACGCATTTCAAATATATTTTGCCCTCCGTTGTGTGTAATATTCTCAACATCACTAATTCCGCTCACGGTAATGACATATTTTCATGTGACCAGTGTTAAAATTGGTCAGATTGACATATTTAATTCATACATCTTAACAATAAAGTTTTTGTGCAAAATATTTTAAATCTAGAATTTTACGAAAACAGAAAAACATTTTACAAAGTTCTGCAAAAAGCAACAATAGTCCATAAAATATGTGCATACGTCTGAAACAATCATCATTTTCTAAATGTTCTTATTTGTTGAAAAAAAAATTGAGTTACAAAGTAAAAATATTTTGAATATTTAAAATTAAGCAAATTAACATGTAGAAATTTTAGATAAACCATGAAAAAACTGAAGTTTAACACCATTTACCGCGATTTAAATGATGACCCACTTTTTTCAAATTGGCCGACATGGTCTACGTCTGGCCCATTAAAATGATTTTGATTGAATGTATTGTTGTTTTCTTGTGTCATACGGCAGAATATACCTATATGTTACAGCTTATGACAATTTTTGTACCACAAGTTTCATTTGTTGTTTTCTTTCTTGTTTCAAAACGTTAAGACTTAAGTAACGTGAACTAAGAGAATCATACCACTTTCCGATACTTACATGCCCTTTTTGATGTTTTTGGTTTCTTTCGTCTATATTTATTTCTTCCTGCTCTTTATTTTCCTTTCTGCATATATCATCGCTTTCGTTTCTTCTATCATTACATGCACCAGTGAGACGCTGCATACATCGCGGAAGTGTTTGAAATTTTGAGGAATATACTTTTAGGATATCTTAAATAATTTGTGAAAATGTCTTGGGATGATTGGTGCAAGAATATTAAAGCAGCAGGATTTGTTGCAGGTGGAATATATGGAGAGGATGGCTCAGTTTGGGCAGAATTTTGTGATGATGTGAGTGAATATTTAGTAATTTCAGTAAAATTTACTTTATTTGGCCAGGGCTGTTATATGGGGTCCTACTAAACACTGCTAAGGACTGCTAAGGACCGCTAAGGACTGCTAAGGAGCTACAAAGGACTACTAGGGAGGCACAAAGGACCTTAAAATACCTCCTTGGGCATTCTTATAATACATGGTAGTATGTTTAGTGAATTTTTTTTTATAATTTTAAGAAAAAATATTATTTTGGTGAAAATTTTATGACTTGCCGGACCGCTAAGGACTGCTCAAATACACAAAAAGACAGCTAGGGTGGCACAAAGGACCTTAAAATACCTCCTAGGGCATTCTTATAATACAAGATAGTATGTTTAGTGACAAAAAATGTATTATTTTAAGAAAAAAATATCATTTTAGTGGGTAAAATTTATGTTTTTGAAGAGTTGCCGGACCGCTAAGGACTGCTCAGGTGCACTCACAACTGCTAGGGAGGCACAAAGGACCTTAAAATTCCTCCTAGAACATTGTTATAATATATGGTAGTAAGTTAATAGACAAAAATGTATTATTGTAAGAAAAAATATAATTTTGTGATAGAATTTATGCTTTTGATGAGTTGCAGGACCGCTAAGGACTGCTCAGGCTGCCAAAGGACTGCTAGGGAGGCACAAAAGACCTTAAAATATTTCCTAGGGAGGCACAAAGGACCTTAAAATACCTCCTAGGACATTCTTATAATACATGGTAGTATGTTTAGTGACAAAAAATGTATTAATTTTAAGAAAAATATAATTTTGGTGATAGAATTTATGCTTTCGATGAGTTGCCGGACGCGCTAAGGACTGCTCAGGTGCACTAACAACTGCTAGGGAGGCACAAGGGACCTTAAAATCCCTCCTAGAACATTCTTTAAAAAATTTTATTAGTAAGTTAATAGACAAAAATTATTTTGTAAAAAAAATATAATTTTTTTTTGAGGGAAATTTATGTTTTCCCGTTTGGTTTGGCAGGCCGCTAAGGATGTTTCAGGTGCGAAAAGGCTTTAGGGGGGGCCCCAAAAGATTTAAAAATATTTCCTAGGGGGGCACAAAGGCCCTTTAAAAATCCTTTCCTTGGGGATTTTTATAAACGGTAGTATGTTTAGTAAAAAAATGTATTTTTTTTAAAATTTTATTTTAAAAAAAATATTTTTTATTTTAAAAATTTTATGTTTTTAAAGGATTGCCGGGGACCGCAAAGGCCCTGTTTCATCCCAAAAAAAAGGGGGAAACAAAAGCCCTTTAAAAATTTTTCCCAAAGGGGGGCAAAAAGGTTTTTAAAAAATTACCTGTTTAGGCTTTTTCTAATAAATGGTGGGTTGGGTTTTTTGAAAAAAATGTAAAAATTTTAAAAAAAAAATATAATTTTTTGGTGATAGAATTTATGCTTTCGATGAGTTGCCGGACCGCTAAGGACTGCTCAGGGTGCGCAAAGGACTGCTAGGGAGGGCACAAAGGACCTTAAAATACCTGTTAGGGGCATTCTTATAATACATTGGTAGTATGCTTTTAGTGACAAAAAATGGTATAAATTTTAAGAAAAAATATAATTTTTGGTGATAGAATTTTGATGCTTTCGATGAGTTGCCGGACCGCTAAGGACTGCTCAGGTGCGACTAACAACTGCTTAGGGAGGCACAAACGGACCTTAAAATCCTCCTTAGAACATTCTTATAAGTATATGGTAGTAAAGTTAATAGACAAAAAATGTATTATTGTAAGAAAAAATATTAATTTTTTGTTGATTAGAATTTAGT